GGTCTGTTCTTATTTAGAAAATAAAACAATCAAAAAGGTTATGTTAAAATATAAAAATAAAAATTCATCCCTTCTTGACTCATGCTTTTGCATCCCTGCTATAATACAAAATATTGCATCAGCAGATAACCATGGAAACAAATCATAATTCATACAACATATTCGTGAGTACTRAATGTTGTTTCACAAAGTCTTTTTTTCCCTTTCTTCATAGGTTTTTTTTATCATGTCGGCCTTAAATAACATGCAAATGCACCTCAAATTTCAGAGACTTCAAGGCAGCACTCAAATAACAGCAACAGCTAAACTCTGTCTAAGAATCTAGAAACACTTTCACTCCCTGTTCGGCTTGTGATGTCAGTAGCTAAGTATCTTAGCTAGCTCAGTCCTCCTCCTATAGCCTGTGTGTGTTTAAAGAGTAATAAATTATAGTTTGTTACAGAAATACTGCAGCAACAGCAGCCATAACGACTGAGGGCCTTTATGACTGCACAGCCCAAAAATCAACAGTGTGTTGTGTTATTATGATGATTGTGAATACGACAAGGATGATGGAGCTGTTTTTCCGRTCGATATGCATTAGTTTGAATAAAAACATATCACACCTGTATCAGCTTACGCCCTGACCTTGGAAAATAAAAGTTCTGAGTGAAAGAAAAATGATGGGAAATGCAAGACGCAGAAGGCAAAGGAGAGCATGAACTAGTCACGGTAATAGTTCTGTGTGCCCCTTACCCCTTTATCTCCTCTCACATTTCTTTCTTTCTAATCTTCTCTCTGCTTCCCTTTCCACTCTCACTTATCTTGTCTCAATCTGTCTCCCTGTCACCTCCTCTACCATCATTTTTTAAATCTTTTCACCTTCTTCTCTCCATCCTTTGCCGTTTTGGTCTATTGTTCCTTTTCGATCTCGTCTTGATCGGTATTCATTGCTTTACTCTCAACCCTTTAGTCTCTCCTTACTTTTTTTGTCACTGCCTACTTATTGCTCTTTTCTGTTCAGCTTCTCAGTAAGAAGCGTTTTYGATGCATTTACATAAAACCTGTCATTTGTGCCGCAGCGATTCWGCAATCCATGTTATGAAACTGACAGTTTGTACAGTCGCTAATTCTGAATGGTTTAATAGATCTAATTTTTGGCCATGAATTAAAGATAGTGGGGCAAAAAAAGAGCCAGCCACTAAAACAGRATGAAGATTTGACATTCCCAGTACAGAGATGCTGGCTAAATTAATGTTGTGTAAAGGTGAACGCTGACACCTTGTGGTCAGGAGAAGATTTGCAACTTCTCTATTTAATCTCTAATTTTCAACACAGACTATAACAAGATCCTTATACTGTACTCTATAGATGCAAAGAACAAACATAGAGATCATGCCAAATATGAAGGTTAACCAAGCCGTTAACTGCTGAGTTTATGATTTTCTCATGTTACGGACAAGTGAGAGAAAAGTCCCGTTGCTTACAGCAGGAGAAAGTTTGTGTGTGACATGAGAGCGGAAGGAGCGGAACAAGAGCAAAGAAAGTCAGAGGGAGGAAGGATGTGGAGAAGGAAACGGGAGGCAGATCTGACAGCTGAGCTGGAGACAGGCGAAGAAAAGACAGATGCATGCGTGGGTTTAACAGGGAAGAGAGGATGATGAAATGCGTGTGAGGAAGAAGTCATTGGAAGCTGCTCTATCCAMTTCTGCCTCTTTAGATCCTTTGATACGTAGAAACCTTTGACCTCCAAAAACTCGCTGTGTAACAGTATCATTCATTTGCACAATGCAAAGATAATATGAAGATAAAACAAAAAAATTGTCTGATAATGATGTTTCAGTGTGTTACTGGGACAAACTTATGAACAACACATCAGAAAACAAACCTCAAATAGATTTTAACTAAGATAGGATGTGTAAAATTACAGCTCCTTATGAAGTCATAGAACCCTTATAATGGTACTAAATGCTGCACTATAGCACAAGTATGACAGACCAAAATAAATAAAAAAAATTTCTGAATTGAGCCCTTGCAGAGATTTTGTTAGAGGAAGGATTTCACTGTTTTTTTTGTCAGTGCAGAAATCTAAAAGGTTGCTTCCAAATTGACTGTGCTATTTTTAACCCTGTTTAGATCTAAATAAGCATCAGTGGTTGCTCCGAGTCCAGATGTGGGATTGCTCAGATAACATTCAGAGGTGCTGACTGATTTCAAATCTGAAAACACAGCTGCTGTGAAACTGACTCAAAGTGGACCCAGTTGCAGGTAAAAGTCCCCGAGTTCAAGTATACAAAACAAAACGTCACACAAAAGCTGGTGCGACTGCAGAGCAAACAAAACAGACAGGAAGCGGACTAAAGAGCTGATGCTGCAGGCGGTCAATGTCAAAAGGTCGGAGGGTAATGTTGRCAAGAAACAAGCTGAGATAAACTGAAAAATGCATAAAGAACAAACATCTGGAGGGTCAGACACAAAACTGACACCATGCAACCTGTAAAACCAGGAAGTACGACTGATTACAGACATAAAGCAGGAAGTCAAACCCAAACTAAAGAAATGTTGAGAGCTGAAATTTAGTGAAAATAAAGTGGACCAGAAAAATTTAGAAAAAAATTGAAACAACTAAAAACAACAGTAGCTAAAAGCTAGAAATGAAGCTGGCATACTTTAAAGACTGCAAGTTTGTTTAAGGATTTGAAAAGTTTGCCTTTCAATGAGGAAAAAGCATAAAAAATAGAAAAATCTAAAGTCGTAGCTGTAATGTCTTGAATGAGCTGAGCATTTGAAAGCTTGATAGTCACAAAAAACAAAACCCATAAACAGGAAAACAACAATGTGATTGCTGACTCTTATGCTTTCTGTGCGGAATTTTATGTTCAATACATTTTGATATTTTCAATAAAGTTACAGCTGTCAAAAGTGTAGTCTTCTCAGAWGAGCTGAACGTTCTTTTGGTGCGTTTTGCTGTTTTTAAAATCCCCAGACCTGATGCTGTCACTGGACAGTGCTCACAAAACCCTGCCCCGGGGGTCTAAACTAATAATAGACTGTTCCTCTTGGAAAGAATAAAAAAAAACAAGCTTCTGCTCACTTCTGTGGAGACTGAGAGGGATTACTGTGGCATAAGTTAATATTATATAAAAACATTCAAATGTCACCATCAAGGCAGCCAGTGAACCATTTCTGCTGACTTTAGAGTGAAATCACAAAACCCAAGGAGAAAAACAGTAAAGGAGAAAAGCCGCTTTGTGTTTAAAAAGGAATCTTAAAAGGCAAAGAGAAAACTGTGTGGCGTGTGCATATTAAGAGAAGATTAAATGAGATGTACAAAAAGGGGGGTAAAAAAATGTGATCCTACCTCCAGCGATGGCGGTTTTCTTGCCCACCGTCACAGTAACAGCAGTGGAGGCAATCAGAATCCTTCCTGCTGATGGATCCAGAAAGACTTATTTATTGATTACAATCACAAAGAAAATGCGATGCTCATTAAACATGCATGAGCRCTGTATATGCATGCAGATTAAATGCCATTCTCAGGAATCTTTCCCACGTAACTGTTCCACTTTTAGAACCCAGAGTGACACGGACTGTTCAGAGGTGTCAAAATATGTTTGGAAACATGACCGACCCAGACCGGAGAGTTAATATTCAAGCAATTTATGCTCTCTTCGAGTGTGCATCTATTTGCAGCCTTTAATGCCAGCAGATGGTAACTGTCATCAAGCCGTCGATTCCAGCCAGATTACCATTTAAAGTGTTACATAATGCAGATTAAGGAAGCTAATGCATTCATAACAGAAGGATTGCTTGGGTGTGTTATGGGAGTCCACGTGCTGGGTGTGTGGATTTCTGCAGAAAAAAGCTGATTTGTTACATGACTGTCAAATGACATGAAGAAAAAAAATAAATCAAAAATGGATTAAAAACCTTATTGACCCACTAAGATGAGAGGATTTTCTTATATTTAAATTGCATGCTTTTGCAGAGGAAAGAAAAAAAAAGCAGTCGGAGGAAAAATAGTTAACGGACTAAAAATGTTCGCTTAAAATCAGGGAAGAGGTAAATGAAGCCAATTTAAAAGAGGAGGCATGCAAAAGTATCGGTAACAACGTTTTTACCCTCCTCTTCCTCCCTTTGTTTTTCCTCCCTCTCCTCCTCCTCTTCCACCTCCTCTGCACTCACGACGGCACTATAGTCAGCCTCATAGTCCCTGAATACATCTGAAAACAACACACTGCTTTCCCTTTATCAGAATGTAAAGAAATAGAAAAACATTTTTTTAGACTTTAATCAAGGTGAATGAAAAACCTCCCACCTTGTACTCTGTTCTGAAAAATAGTTTAATCAGGTATCTAACAAAAGAAAGGATAACATGTTTTGCTTTCACTGTAGTATAAAACTTTACTCTATCAGTTCTTGACAGCAAAGAATTAACTATGGTAGCAATGTATAATAAAGCTCAGTACATATGTGGTACATACAAGTACTGTGTTGTACTACAAAATGACTTGTTACCCTGTTCTTACAGGGTATGTACTGGTATGTAACTGGTACATATCTAGTACTTACAGGGACAGAGCTGAAGTGACTTGTCACTCTGTTCTTACAGGGTACAAATATGGGTATAAACCACGTACATATCTAGTACTTACAGGGACAGAGATGTATTATGAAAGGATTTGTTACCCTGTTCTTACAGGGTATGTACTGGTTATGTACCTGGTATATATCTAGTACTTACAGGATCAGAGCTGTATTATGAAATGACTTGTTACTCTGTTCTTACAAAGTACGTACTTGGTATGTACCTGGTACATACTAACACTTATGAGACAATAGTTACCCTGTCTTTACAGGGTAAGTACCTGGTACATATCAGGTACATAGTGGGTACTTATACAGACTGACCTATATTGTAAAGTGATTTGTTGCTTGTAAGTGAAAAATAACTACATGAACCAGGCGGTATTATGAAGTTGACTTGTTTCTCTGTACACACTTAAAGTACTGCACTGCACTATGTATTATTTATGGTTGCTTTACTGCAGTTTGGCTTTTATGTGCTGCCTCATCATAACTCAAACTATAAACAAAGATGGAGTTAGTTTGATGTGATGGTCACCATGATGCTTTTCACCGATGGCCTGACATCAAAACAGACAGAAATGTAATAATTCTGTTAAAAAAAATATTGATGTGTACTTTATAGTTAATGCAAATTATATAAACGCACACTGAGACAAACAGTGAAGAACAAAACTGTAGATACAATCAACCTGTCAGATAGAATACTGAGTTGATTTGCTAAATATGCCTACAATAATAATAATAAAAACATGTCAGTGTTGTGTCTGTCATATGTTTTTAGTTTGTTTGTCAAGAAAGGGTAAGCCCTCTACCTCTCATGTCCTGTCTGGGCATGTAGTACAAAAACTGCCCAGCTGAGAACTCAGCTGCTCTGCGGTACCACACTGGGAAGTGATCCAGTGTGAACATATTCTCCTTGTCTGTGGAGGTCAGGAAAGACCTGGTGAGACACAGAAATAACCTTAAAGAAACACCTATTTAAAATAAAAGGAGATGAAATGAGAAAAATAGATTGTCAGCCTATTTTCCTATCAAGCCATRACGTATGAGTTGTAAAGCTGTATTATTATTATTATTAGTATTATTATTTTCATCTGGCCTTTTAATTAGGAATATAACTCATCTTTATAAAATAATATTTTGACAACATTTTAATCTTTCAGTTAGTTTTTGATACGCTGCGTTAAAAATCAATGTGACAATTTCAGATGTAAAGGACAGTTTAAATACTTACTTGCCAACTCTTTTCTCAACACCCGAGTACTTCAAGACTCTCAACAGGCCCGAACGGGTTCCTAGAAAAGCTGTCTCAATACCATCATCCATACTGAGAAGGGAAAGAAGAAAAAAATATATATTATGAGGCAGAAAAAGTACAATGACAAGAAAAACAATGTAAATGAAATGACATTTAAAATCCTGAACTGAACAAAAGAGGATTTGGGTTTTTATAAATGTGTGTTCTTGTTCACCCAGATGTGTTGAGCATCAGGGCGGTCCAATAGGCTTCCATAGGTGCTGTAACCACGGCATCGAACAGAGTATGTTGCAGCAACAACTCGTCACCTTTGGATAAAAACCAAGACAAAGCAAAGTGACAAAAATAATTAAGACAAAACAAGAAAAATTGCCTTTTTTGCAAAAAATACAGTATGAACACTGAATGACTGCTGAGAAATATCGAAGTAAGTTATTAAAGTTAAATGAAGGCAAAAGTTGCAAAACACTAGCAAGAAGCTAAAAACAGTGAAGTGTTGAGTCCGGTTTTAGGTCACATAGTACTGAAAAACAGCTCTTCTCAGCGTATGCAATGATTTGTTTTTATCTGTTGGTTCTGGTGCTTCTGCTGTTTTAATTCTTTGAACAGTCTGTTGGTGGGAAAGGCATGGCTTTTAAATGGTTTGAGTCCTACTTGTCTGATAGGAGTTTTTCTGTCTAAATTGGAGAATTTTCTTCCACAGAGACCCCTCTTAAATGTGTGGTACCTCAAGGCTCCATACAGGGCCCCATTTTATTTTCTCTAAACAACAACGTCTAATCAATGATATCAAAAAAGCTAAATATGAGTTTAAAGTAGCAAAAGACTTGCAAAAAGCTAAAGGCATAAAAAAGCTAGCTCATTGTATCAAAATATTAGTTAAAAGCTAAATGTAGCAAAGGCTGGCCTTAAGCTGAGTATAGCAAAGTAGCACAAGGATTGCTAACAGTTAAAAGTTTCAAATGGCTAGCTATCAAAAACTTCTCAAGAAACTAAATGTAACAAAGGCTGACTAGAAGCTAAAAGTAGTTTAATCCTAACTCAAAGTAGCTAAATAGTAGCTAATTGCTCAAAGGTAACAAAGAGTATCTAAAAGCTAAAAAAGTAGCAGAATTGTAGCTATGAATTAAAAATAACATTTGAAAAAAATATGCTAAAGCAGATTTTTAACAAAAAATAAAAATAAAAAGTGAAATGCTGAATCAACATTCCAACAATTTGTTGAGAAAGACACTTCTTTTCTTTTCGTAGAGGTGATTTTTCTCATTTTCAAAGCTGATGAATAAAGTTTCGTTAGAGCTCACATTTCAGATTTGCTTCTTTGCCTGTGAGGTATTTTGTAATGGCCTGCAGCTGGGAGAGCTTACGATGAGCTGGGTTGAGATCCGTCTCACAGTAGGTCCTGAAAACACAAACAAATGTAGATTGAAATGCAAACCTAATGTGTTTTTCGAAGGTGTAGGATTGTTACACTGAAACAACTGCAGTGTGGACTAGAAGATAAACTCACCACTCATTGGCTACAGTCAGATCTGGTGTCAGTAAGTCATGGAGACCTGAAGAACAACAGGAAGAAAAATCATGAGTAAAGTGCTTGTGATGTTTAAGTAAAACCAATAAAAAGACAAACAACTTGCCTTCTTCAACTGAGACATTTCCTGTGAACATATACTGTCCATACCCTCTGCTTAGCACTATTCCTAAGCTATTAAAAAAGAAAGAATATATATTACTTCTAATCATAATCATACACTGTGCACATTAACCAAACAAGTGTGTCTTTGCCAATTTTACACAATGTAAGCAATCAGACAAACCTGAATGGTGTCTCATTGATGACAGTATAAAAGTAATCATTTTTCAAAAAGACCACTCTTCTCTGTAAGAGATGGAAAAGACAAACAAGGGAGGTTTCTTAATTGAGAAGAAAATGCACAAAAACCAAGGAATAATGGCAAAAATCTATTGTCTACTATTTCAGTACTCACTCCTTTATCCACCGAAGACCGCACGTCCAAAGATATTGTTCCAGTTTCTCCTTTGACCATAGCTGTTCTCAGCTGGAAACATGAACATATTTCTTACTACAATAAAATATAAAAGGACAAAAACTAAAAACAGTACAGAATGTGTGCGCTCACCTTCTCCTCAGTGTCTTCCCATTCCACTTCCACCAGATCAACACTGTTGTAGTTGGGTTTGGGCTTTAGTTTCTTTCCTTCTTTATACTATCAAACACAAATCAGCAAAACAAACCCTCAAACCATCATCTTTCTCAATCAGAGACGCTCTCTCAGCTGCAGGTTTTGTCTAATACATAAATAAAATGATTATGTACCAAAGGTCGAAGCTCTGGATGAGACAGGATGTAGCCATTATTGGTGATGAGGAAGGCATAACCATGGATACCAAGCTGGAAGGACAGAAAGGTAAAGAATGTCTAACATGTTAAGATCACACAGTAATGATTGTCAAATGGATTGTATATACTGATCAACCACAACTTTAAAATCAGTCAATATTTAGATACAGCTTGTTTAATACTTGGACAGGAACAGTTGAACAAACACAAGCCTAGTGATAACCTGACCTTCAATGCAGAAACAAAGCTAACCCAGAAGGTCCCACCCTCCTGCCAACATCCATATGACATGCAGGACAAAACACAGATGTGTAAAAGCTACAGTGGTTTGCAAAAGTATTCATACCCCTTGAACTTTTCCATATTTTGTCACATTACAACCACAAACATAAATAT